CAGAGTTGGAGAACCAGAATCTAACATCTAGGACTAGAACGCAAAAACAAAGTTATTGATCAACTACATGAAAAATATTCAGACCCCTCTAAATCAGATCCAACACTGGACAAGAGGACTGGCACACCTCTGTCTCTATCTGGGGGATCGGTGATAAAGCTACACATGTGCAAAACCCCCAAATGAGTCTGCATAACACTGCCTAATGCGGCCTGAGAGTCCACACTAATCTTCGCTTAGGTATTTAAAGCATTCATTTATTATCAAGACAGCTGGTCTCCACCTGGGTTCCAAAAGCAGGCTCTAGAAGTCCTCGACACACCCGATAAACAAATTTGCTTCGTCCAGCAGATAAACTCTGAACTCAAGTCAGCCTGTGTGTTTTTCCTGTTTGTGCTTTTAAGTCAGTCTTACAGTTTTAATCTTAGAGGTTTTAAACATCTGGAGCCCCACATCTGGGGACTCCAAATGTTTTCCCTGGGCCACACATCCCCACTCCCACTAAAAACATTTTCCTAATACTGCTAAAACAATCACAATAAAAAAGAGCAGAGATGAGTCCACAGGCTATATATAAAGTAAGATTGAGAACATTCAACTCCAGACTCTACCAACTCCTCAACTCCTGGCCTCTCAGTTTTTTCCTTCTTTAGATGTGAAGAACTCCACCCTGTTAGACAGGTTAGTGACTGGAGTATTGATAAAAGTGGTAAAAGCCTAGTCCAGTTCCTGACACACGATAAGACCTCAATAAATGGTAGCTATTATCATCACGATGGTCGTAACTTAATATTGAGACATGACTACCGAAACAACAAAATCTTCTTCATAAAAGCACACTAACTACCCTAACCTAACACAGGGAAATAGGCATGATGTGCATTCGATGTGTAACAGGTGTCAGGTACTTTCCTATGCCCTTAGTTCACTTATTTTCTAAGTTTATTTAATTCTCATTATCTTCACCTTTACAGAGAAGGAAATTGAGACACTCAAGGTCTGGCAAATCTAAAAAGACAGAATGCAAAGCCTGCGCTCTTAACTACTACTGCACACTAAACAAAGCCATTCAAAGACAAGTCCTCTTCTTCTGGGGAGATCTAGGGCCAGGTTATTCAATATGAGATTTGACTTTGACCAGTCTTTGGGCCCCACCTTCTACTGTTTAAGTTTGAACACTGTTCAATGCTAATTCAACATTAAAGGGAAGATCGACTTAGTGGTTTTAGAAGAGAGCACTGATGCGTCAGACAAACCAGGTTTTCAGGCCTGTTGCGAGGCACATACTAGTCTGGGTAACCTTACCTTTTCTGAACCTCAGTTTCCTCATCCGCAAAATGGGGTAAGAACTGCACCTACTTCACTGAGCTGTTTCGAGCATTAACGCAAGGATTTACGTAAACCGAGCAGTACAGTGCTCGCTGAGTGTTAATTTTAAGTAATGGGAGCCATGGGAAAAAAGAGAAAGGTAGGAACAATGGTAGAAAGCGGAGCTTGTCCCTGGGTGACCCAGTAGACACCCGAGCGAGGATCCTCCCTAGCGTAAGAAGCAGTAGCCCCTAGCCCACCGCCGTAGGAGCCAGCCCTTACCACTCTTGGGTTTAGACTCGCCGGCCGGCCCCGCCGAGGCGGAGCGGAGCGGCTGCTGCCCTTTGCTGCTGCCCGAAGAGGCGGAGGAGCTGCTGGAGCCGCTGTTCTTGTCCATGTCGGAGGCGGTGGCGGCGGCGTTGGGGGAGCTCTGCGGCATCAACGGGGGCCTTGGCGGCGGCGGCGGTCGGAGCGGAGCGGGCGCGACGGGGACCCAGGCTCATGGCGTTCAGGGCCGGCGGGGGTCGGCGGCGGCAGCGGTTCTCGGCCTTCATGGCGACATTTTTCCTTGTTTCCTTACTCGGCTTCTCAAACTGGGAGGAGAAGCGGCAGGCAGGGCTCTTGAGCCCGGCGGCGGCGGTGACCAAGAAAGAGGAGGAGGAGGCCGAGGCTCGGAGGTCCGGGCCGGGCCTGGCGGGGCGGAGGCTGCGGGGGAAGGGGAGGCGAGGGAGGGTGCGCGAGCCCCGCCGGCCGGCCGGACACGCTCTCCCGCCGCGGAGCAGGGGAGAGGGCTGGCTGTCTTGGTGTCGGGGACAGGTGTCTCCGACACAGCGACCGTCACTCGCCTCTGAGCCGAGGCCGAGCTGCTCCGGGAATGGCGACGAGTCGCCAAACAGCATCTCGAAGAACCCGGATGGAGTATATATATAGTGGTGTTGTAGGAGTGCAGCATGCTGGGAAACGTAGTTTTCTGCCTACATCCGGGTCCAGTGGGTGTTTTCCTTTTTTCCCCTCTCCTCCATGGGTGAGAAGTCTTACAGGACGACTTGCAGGACAGGTTTTAGTCTTAGTACACTAATGTGCATAATAACAGTATATACTACTAATAATAATGCATCCAAATATTGGAATAACTGTGGAATTCTCTTATTGACTCATTGTTTAACCTATAGTTCTTATTCTACTATTAATATCAATTTATCTATGGCTCTTATTCAATGTCCTAATAATAATAATAATAATGATAATAGCAGTATTAAGGACAATACCTTACGTTTAATATCACTTTGTTACCGAGTCCATTCTTGTTCTTCTCACTGCAGACAGGCCAATACATCGGGAGACAAACCGTTGGGGCAAGGAAAAATGACTTTATTTGGAAAGTCAGCAGACTGAGAAGATGGCAGACGTACGTCCTGGAGAACCATCTTACCCAAGCCACAATTCAGGCTCCTTTTTTGCTAAAAGGTTGAGGAGATGTGGTTAGTTGTTGCAGACTTGGTGTCAGAATGCTTTGTTCTTGCAGGTCTACCTAGGATGCTATGTTTTGTTCCACCTAGGTGAGGTCACGGTGTTCCTGGTAAACCTCCAACAAGACAAATGTTATTCTCTGCTGTGCAACTTTTTCTCTATATATGAATGGAAAAGTGTTATACCCTTAAAGGTCAGAGCCTTGAGAATGGGCTATCCTGTATATTTCAGGCTACAGCCCAAGAGTCTTTTTACAAAACATGCAGAACCAGTATGACCAAACATAGGAAACAGGGCACAAGGTTAGAGCTAAAGGAACAGATCTAATATGGAGTCAGATTTGTTCTTCCCTATTACAATTTTATAGCACTTCCTCACACCATTACTTGCTTTTATTGTTAAGTCATTTATAATATAAATCATTGTCAATATTTCATTTCATTGTTAATAATAATAGTTATCATTGAGTGCTTATCATTAGCAGACCCTGCTCTGTGCAATTGATATGGAGTATCACGCTTAATCTTCACAATAACTCAAATTTAAAGACAAGGAAAAGGGCTCAAAAAAACTTAGATCATTCACCACGATCACACAGGTAATAAGTGATGTTCTTAACTATCTAAATATAAGCAGTTCTCCATTTTACAGATGTGGACACTGAAACTTAGAAAAATCACATATGTATTTTAGAAGTCATATGACACCCATCTATACTTTGGAAAATTATAAATGATTCCTTCCAACCATAGCAGTTTGAGATTCAAAGAATCACAGAAACACAGTTTTAAAAATGAGAAAATAATTCTTATAAATATAAGAATAAACAAGGCTAAACTTAGCTAATTAGAAACCTGTTACATGCCAGGCGCTGTGTTGAGCACAGAAATTCCAAAATACATTAATGGAAGACTGTGATGCAGATTCTAATAAAGTTAACACAAAATGCTGACCAGAACAGAGGCCTCAAGGAGAGAAGCACAAAAAATTGGAAGGGTTAGTGGAGGGCTTCCCCATAGGTGGTGTCACTTGAGCTGAGCATAGTAGGATGAGCAGAATTTCAGCAGTCATATATGAACAAATAAATAGACAGAATCCTAAAATTCCCCTAATTGGGTCCTTTTTGGTTCCTTATTAATCATCACATGTTATGCAAAACATTAAGTATGTACAAGTCAACCAATTTCTTGAAGTTAACAGTTTTAACTTGGATAAAGGAAATTAGATACTAATCTCATATTTTTAGATTTTCTT